GAAAGACCCCCCAAACGGCTTCCGACGGCGTCAGACGGGCCAGGAGCCCAGCAAGATGGCCGAAGGTGGCACGCAGCTGGCCCAAGACGGCCCAAGAGGCCTCCAAAAGGGCCTCCAGGAAGGCCAGAAAAGGCCTAAAAGAGTGATTGTCCGTAGGTTTTTGAAGGATTTTGACATTTGCTTCGTTTCGGCCTTCCGACGGCCCGATACGGCCCAAGAGCCCCCAAAGATCGCCCAAGGATCGCCCGAGACGCCTCCAAGACGGTCCCAAGAGGCCCCCAAGACGGCCGAAAAGGCCTCCAAGACGCTCAAGACGGCCTCCAAGACGGCCCACGAGCCCTCCAAAACGTCCTCCAAGAAGGCCCGAAAAGGTCAAAATAGCCTCCAGGCGGCCAAGATGACCGTCAAGATGCCCACGTGTTCCCCGAAGGCTTTCCAAACCGATTCGGGGAACACATGGTCCGATAGCTTGGCAGGTCTGGCCACAACCTTCGGCCACATAGGCGCTTCCAAAAAGGCAGGGGGCGGCGGTGATTCGCCGTAGGCGTCTTCGATATATACGTACATGTACATCTGTGTAACACTCGCTGCAGGGGCTACCAAGAGCCTTCCCAAGAGGGGCCCAAGAGGCCACAATCGTCCAATGCCTATGTGTCACAAATTTGCGTGGTCCTTCGACCACCCGAAGCATCTCCTCGAATTCAGCCTCCAGGAGCCGTTTTCGGTGCCCGGGACCACCACCGAGGGTCCGGGGTAAGGATCGACCTCCCTGGCCGGTGCCCCCCCTTCACAAAGGAAGGAACACAGGGTGGATCGAGGCTCGAGGCATGAGACTCCTAGTTCTCAGGCGCTCTCCGCCCCCTCTGGGCCTTCAGGAAGCTCCTCGTCGACACAGCTGGGTCCACTCTCGAACTTCTGGCCGGACGCACCCCCAGCTGGGTCTCAACGATCCCCGAGCCCATCCTGGGGGATGGAAAAGGAGGCCTGGGACAGGCCCCGTGAATGCCCCAAGCAACCCACAGAAGATTACGAAAAACTGCAGAACAATCCCCTACGAGCCCCCCTCCCTTTAACCCCACACGCAACGCAAGACAAGCCGAAGCCCCAAGATTGCCCAGCGACCGCGCGCGCTCCGCGAACTCCGTCTTTCACTCTTGCTGCCCCCCCGAAGGGGTCGGCGGTGCGGCGTACACCAGTGAATCTTGCGAGCCTCGGAGGTCTGCCTCGGGGCCCCGCAGGCGGCCAGTGACGAGCGAGGGTGAAGAGCCGGTCCCCAGGAATGGATCGAGAAATACTGGGGCCAACGTCGTAGAGGGCAGTTTTTAATAATAGGATGTTTAGACATATAGGTCTTTAACACATGATTAGTTTATGCATACATTTATGCATGAACTCATCGTTGTTTTTAATACTAAATCCCTGCATTTTGAATATAAGATCCGCACGCGGAGCATGTATTTAAAACGGCACTGTAGAGTGGAGGCCCGACCACAAGAGACCTTCCACGAGAAGCCCAACCCTGAGACCCCAGGGCGTCCACTGATGTTTGGTGTGGAAACGTCGCGCTTCCCATCGTAGGACCATCGACACCCAAGAAACCCAGGGTACCCTGGAGGCAAGCAGGGTATTTCTTGGCATGGGCCCCCACTGTACGACAAATCGTGACCCCAGCGGGTGTCGGGGGAGACTGCCCGGAGAGAAACGGATCACGATGGAGACGTGCCTTGAATCAGAGGGTCTTCCTCAGGATGCGTTTTTTGCCCGATTCGTTGTTCGACGGCCCCGAGTGTTACCGCACTGATGGCGGGATGGGGAGAGAGGGTCGATGGAAAAAGAAGGTCGAGGTTCGAGGATCCAGGTTTCTAGGCGCTCTCCAGGTGAGGGAGAAGTGGGAGGATTTAGGAGGGAGGGGAAGAGGAGGAGCGAGGAGGAGGGAGGGCAGAGAGAACAATGAGGATTGCATCGGGAGCGGCCAAGAAGGGGGTGTCCAAGAGGGGGGGGGTGCAAATCATGGCCGGCGGCATATGTGCACGGCCCAGCAGGGGGGCCGGGACCGTATTGAAATAAGAAAAGGCGCCATGAAGTCTGGGGAAATATCATGCCCCCCCCGCCAGGATATCCACCCCCCCGTAGTCATCACCCCCCGCTTTTCCGCCCCCGATTGCAGACAAGGGAAGTCGGGGGACCAACAACGGCATCATTCAACTTTTTATAAGAGGCTCGCGTGGATTTCTTGGATCGGCGCTGGATGCCCCTCCCTGGCGTGCGAAGCGCGCCAAGGGGACCAGGGGCGGCGCCAAAAGGCGCCGCCGAGGGGGCCGCGCACCCATCCTGGAACTCCACGCGGACCTCCGAGAAATTATGCTTACTCCGAGTTTCTTAATAAACGTCGGGGGGGCGTCACCCCTGCCGACAGCCCCTCATCGACCCCCGTCCCGGGCAGCCACCGCGCGCTGAAGGCGCTCCGACCCCCGTCGCGGCGCGACGACGAGCCGAGGTTGACCCCCGTCGGGGGGGTACAACCCCCACGCTTATCAAGAAACTCGGAATATGCATTTCTTTTATCTTCGATGGATCCCAGGGCCTTCGACCTGGGGCCGAGCGGATCTCTAGGAGGGGCGCTCGATCCAAGAGGCGTCCAAGATGCCGGATCAGGGGCACAGGGGGAGCATGGAGTGGAGGAGGCGAGTGATGAGGAGGACAGCAGAGGGAACAGGGTCAGGAGGAGGAGGATCTTCCCTACTGCTTATTTTTCAGCCCGAGTCTTTCTCTGACGGCCCCCGGCGTCTGGGACAAACATTCCGAGGCCGAGAGCGGGGAGGACCTCAGGACCGCCACTTAGTGGCGCGCGGAGCGCCAAGGGACGGCGCCAGGAGGATCTACCAGGGATGCCCAGCGCAGATGCAAGATACCCGCGCAGACCTTCGAACATTTATGCATATGCAGTTTTGAGAAGCCTCCTGGATGGGGCCCAAGAAGAGGGGATCGGAGGATCACGCCGCATCGCAGATGCATCGCCGATGCAGTGGCGATGCATCGACGACGTCGGCGGTGCATCGGCGCCGCCGGCGTGGAGAAGATCGGGATTCGCATCGCGCCGCATCGGCGATGTATCGGCGATGCGGCGCGATACTCCGCACCCATCTACTCGGACTCCATTTGGGAGGCCTTCAGTCGAGGAGAAACACATGTCACAAACATCAACATTCTGAGGCCCGCGCGGATTTCTTGGAGCTGCGCTGGACCCCTGTGGCGGCGCCTCCGGCGCCGCCCCTGGCGCGCTCCACGCGCCGCCATGGAGGGAGTCCAACGCCGATCCAGGAAATTCGCGCGACCCTCCGAGAGATTATGTTGATGCCTTTGTTGGTCCCACGAATTTCCTCGTTTTCATTTCGTCTGGTTCTCACTGCCCCCCCCTCGCTCATCCTCTGCTCCTCCCTCCTCTACGTCCTCCCTCTCCCCCCTTATCCAGAGGGCATGCAGAAAAGCTCGACCTTCGATCCTCGAACGCCGACCCTCCTTCCCCATGGACCCTCCGAAATGATATGCTTCTGCTGTCTCAACCGATTTCGTCAAAGTTTAGCCTCTTCGAGGCAGGGCGAGCGTTAGGTCGGGCGTGTCCTCCTACAAGCGGATTCTAAGTCAAAAGTAAGAAATAGCCAAAACATGCCCCAACTTAATCAAACATAATAGAACATCGCCATCCTGTTTTACAAATGTATACTAGTGGCACGTGTGTGCCTGGGCTCATACAAAAAACTGAAATGTCGTTTGGAGCAGGAAAACACCATGACGGCGGGATCGGATATGGAGATCCTCATCCTCATCCTCCCTTCTTCCTCCTCCTGCTCCTCCTCATCTTGCTCGCTCGCCACAAGCACACGAACATATAGCACCAGTGCTGCAAGATGGGCTGGCGGAATGAGCGAAGCGATTAACAAGAGAAGTGTAAGCACGAATCCCACCAGCCGATTTGTTTCACTAGATGTGGAGGGAAAGAGAAGGACGAGAAGAGGAGGAGGAGGATAGCTGCCGGGAGTGAAATGTGATAGCGGGGCCGCACTCGAGCGCAAGCGGGGTTGCCACACCGTGCGATGTGTGTACCACGGGCCCCCAGGAAGCCTCAGGAGGCCCGACCAGGATGCCGGAAAATATTCCAGGAGGCCCCAGGAGGGGTCGTCTGGGATCGAGGTTGCGAGGATGTCCATGGAGGCCTCAGGAGGCCCAACCAGGAGGCCGCACGAGGCTCCAGGAGGCCGAGGGAGAGTACGTCTGGGCTCGAAGTTGCGAGGATGTCCATGAAGGCCGCAAGAGGCTCTAGGAGGCCCGACCAAGAGACCGCAGGCCCAAGGAGGCCCCAGGAGGCCCCAGGAGGTTCCAGGAGGCCCCCAGGAGGCTCCGAGGCGGGGTCTGGGGTACCAGAAAGTACGTCGGTGCTCGATGTCTCAGGCGAAACCGCCATTCTTGGAGAATCGAGGTCAACATCATTGAAACTACATAGGGGTTTTTGAAGGTTTTATGCTATGATGTTGATATTCCCATGTGCTTTTGGACCCTGACGTCACGATCTGTGTGAGGGGTGCCACCGATTTTCAGAATTTCGAGGATGCCCCCAGCGAAGCTGCCAGACACATCGCGGACGCGGACCGGCCTGCAATACATCGCCTCCAAGCTCTACTCCCTCGGAGAGGTGCGTATGCTAATACATAGTTAACATATACCTAATACTATGAATGTGTGTACATATACACATATATACACTAATATATATGTACTAATATATATGCATACATATATGTATATATATACACATTATTATATATACATATGATATTATATACACACGCTTATATTTAGTAGTGCATATACACTTCTATATATATACGCAGATAACTGTACGTATGACTTTCCCTCAATGTAGAGGACGTGCACGACTTCAGGCGAGCGGGAATGCGGAGGCGCGCCCAGAGCGCGGGCCACAGGGGGCCCAGGTGCCCCGCCTCCTGCGGGCGCTCGCACATCTGGTCCGTGGCGGTGCCGCCCATGGCCGAGACCAGCGTCTGCAGGGCGTGCCTCGCCAGGGGCCCGCTCCTCCCTCCGCCTTCTCCTCCTCCTCCTCCTCCTTCCTCCTCCTCCTTCCTCCTCCTGCCTCCCTCCCTCCCTTTCCTCATTCCGCCTCCTCCTCCTCCTCCTCCTCCTCCTCCCCCGCCTCCTTGCCGCGCCCACCCTCTTTCTCCCTCCGCCTCCTCCCCCTCCCCTCCTCCTCCTCCTCCTCCTCCTCCTCCTTCGCCTCCTCCTCCACATCTTCCTCGTCCTGCTCCTCCTCTTCTTTTTCCTCCTCCTCCTCCTCCTCCTCCTCTTTCCTCCTCCTCCTTCTCGTCGTCCTCCTCCTCCTCCCCCTTTGGGGGGGGGGGCGCGATCGGGCCGATTCCGGGCGCATCCCTTTTGGGTGCTTCCGCCGCCTTCCGCCAACATTACGCCACCTTCCGCTGGTGGTACCGCTAACGTTTTGCTTCCATCAAAGCTTGAGTCAAACTTGAGTCGAACTGGATCCGACCTTTCACCAGACTAGAGTCGAACAGATCCGTTAGGTGGCTCCATGAAGGCCTCCCAAACGAGCATCTAACTCGGGGACTGCAGCAGCAACAACAGCAGTAGAGCGGTCTGCAGACATGCCGTGGTGGGCTGGGCCCTTTGTGGCACTTGAAAAACATCGCCTGGGCAGACCGAACGATACATTACACGGCATGGCGAACTGCAAGAACTGCGTGCAGAACAGGAGGAGGAGGAGGAGGAGGAGGAGGAGGAGGAGGAGGAGAGGAGGAGGAGGAGGAGGAGGAGGAGGAGGAGGGGGAGGAAGGGGACCGAGGACTCGCCTGGAAAGGGTGGCCTCCGGAAGGGTGGCCCGGGCGGTGCCGAGGCCGCGGCGGCGACGGGTGGCCGCACCGCGGGCGCGCCTCTGCTGGTTCAGCCCCTCGCGCAGCTCGTCCGCCGCCTCCGACAGCCGGTGGAAGGCCGCCGGCGCCTTCTGCGATGTCAGGCCGGCGTGCTCCATGGGGGATCGAGGCCCCGAGCATCGAGAGTGGGGCGTCGCTCAAAAATGGGGGGGGGTGCGAGGAGTGGGGGGGGGGAAGAAGAAGAAGAAGAAGAAGAAGAAGAAGAAGAGGAAGAATAATAATAATAAGAAGAAGAATACGAAGAAGAATAATAATAAACATAATAATAACAATAATAGTAATACTAAGAATAATAATAATAATAATAATAATAATAATCATGATAAGAAGAGGAAGAAGAGGTGCACTTCTCGGGCCCCAGGAGGCCCCCCTTGTGGACCCGCAAGGGCCCCCACTTTGCGGGCCACTCTGCGGGCCCCTCTCCTGCGGCCCTCGGGCTTCCCGCCCCCCCCCCCCCGTGTATCGCCCTCCCCAATTTAGCGACGCCCAAGAGGAGGGTTGTGCTTGTTTTCGGTCCAGGCGGTCCTGCGTCGGCCTCGGCTCTCGGGGCCCTTCTTCGGGACTCCGTCATACGTGAGGCGTTCGAGGATTGAGGATGATCGAGATCTCTGGCCTGTTGTGGCCCCTCCTGGGCCCCCCGGGGGCCTCCGTGGAGACCTCGTGGGGCTCCAGGGACCTCCAGAGGAGCTCTGGAGACCTCCAGTCGCTCCGCGCCGGATTGTTCTGATGCTCCAAGTCCTTCAAGGTGGAGGTCCGCCTTCCATTCTGGAGGCCTTTTCCCTCCATTGGCAAGGCTGTCTCCTCCACTTTGGAGGTTTCGGGATGTTTTGGAGCCTCTGGAGGGGCTGGAGGGGAGGGAGCGCCTTCGAGGAGCGGGAATGGACGGAAGGGGGGTGGCGGAGGGCAGGGGAGAGGGAGAGAGGAGATGGGATTGTCAAGCTAGGCGCGTTTGCGCCCTATCTGAGACACATGCGACCACCCTTCGGGTGGTAAGGAGGTTGGGGGGTGGGGGAGGTGCAGAGCCAACTGCTGGCAAATGCTTTGGGTGTGATAATGATGCTGGTGACGCGCCATCGAGTTAGCGACGACGCGTGATGACGATGTTGCGCTTCGATGTAATGACACCATCGTCCCCACTTTCGATCTCACTCGATCGATCCCACTATCGACCTCACGGCCAGTCTTAGTACCAATGGATTCAGCGATCGATCCCATTGTGCTCGCTCCATGGGAGAACGCCTGTCCCCGCAAAATGTGGACGACCCAAGGGACGTCGCCTCCCTGCGCATCCCGCAGCGCGAGCACAACCAATGTCACAATCAACCTGAGTGTCGATCTCACTTTTGATATCACAATCCGGCCCATTTTAGAGATATAATTATCAATCTCAATATCGACTTCACTACCGATACCAAAGCGAGACACCCCGGGCCACCGCGAGCCCACCGGGGGCGGAGGGGCGGTCCACTGCATCCAAATCACCCTAGCGACGGCGGGGTCATTCCTCTCGCGCGCCCACGCAACTTCGCCTCGCCCGCACGACACGCACACGAAACCGAAATAGATTTGCCAATGGGGGCTCTCCGTTCCACTCCGATCTCACCTCCCTCACCTCCAATCCTCCCCCTTCCACCCATCCTTTCCCATTACGCTGAATCATGTTCTATCCACCGGCTGGGGTGTCCCAGATGACCTTGATCTCCCAAATGACCCCATCATGTGGCGCGGAATTAGGAATCAAGCCTTGTTTATAAGGCGAGATGGAGGAGGAAGTTGCGGATGGCCGATGCGCATAAGGAAGAGCAAGATGCTGAGAAAGGATGAGAAGGAACAACAGGAACAAGAACACGAGGACAGGGGGACAACGGAATAGTGAAACGGAGGGGGACGGCAACGACGAAGAGCGACTTGGAACCAGAGATGCGGCCAGCGCTACAGGAGCCAATCTGAGCGACAAGAACAAAACACCGATCCTGAAATATGGCCCGCGCTGCGGCGGGAACTCCGTTTCTGATGGGCCGAAACGATCTGATCGAACAGCCGCATCGGCGACACGCAAGCCACTCTTGAACTTTCAAGGCGTGGCGGAGCAATGTGCGGGAGGTGGGAGCCCCCGCTCATCACAGCATCGGGGGGGATAGAGAGGGCAGCTGTGCTCCTGGTGTGTCCTTGTGGAGGGGAGGGACAGTGGGCAGGTGTGAGAAGGGGAGAGGCGAAAGGGGAGGGGGACGAATGAGTGGAGTGTGGGGCAGGAGAACCCAGACTCGGATCGGTAAGTCGGATCGGCGATCGGCATGAATCGGATTGGCGGACATCGGGAGCCAAGTCGGGAAAAGTCGAATCGGCGGACATCGGCAAGCTAGCATGCCTCCAATGAACAATCGGAACTCAGATCGGAATCCCAAATCGAATCGAATCTAAATCGGAAACCATCGAAGTCGAATCGAATCGTATCGGAGGAATCGAAGCGCGCCCTGGTATAGGGAGGAGGGGATGGGGAAGGAGGAAGGGCAGAGAAGGGTGAGGAGAAGAAACCGCAAATCACGAGAGGGCACGGGGGGAATTAATGAGAGGGGGGCCGCACGACGAAGGACAACGGCGGCACGCAGGCGGGGTTGGCCAAGATTGCGTCGGGCGTGTCCTCCTACAGGGGGGTTTTGGACATAGTCAAAAAATACTCCAAAATGGTCAACTAAATCATCAGAACGTCGTCCCCAGACTATTTCCTACTATTTTTTGAATATTCCTCCTGTAGAAATACGTGCCCGACTTAAGACAACGATAGAACACCGCCCTGATGATAATGACGGGTTTTCACACGCGCGAGTCCACCTCAAGTCGCGCACGTGCTGGCTGGTTCGGTCTGGTGCGACGGTCGTGTGTCACCTTCCCTGGGCAAGCGTGACCTGTGCTGCGCGGCTGTGGGGGGTGGGGCGCGGGGCGACCAAAGCGCACGCCGCTGCTGTCGCGTCGCCGTCTGCGACCATTGGGGGGCCCGACTGTGAGGGGCAGCGTTCTGGGGGGACCAGCTCAAGGGGGAAACATCGAGCCTGAATGGGCGATATATCGCCGATGGGTCGGCGATATGCCCCCGATTACGAATCCGCACATTCTGGGGCGGGGTGGGCTATCAGACCCCTATCGGCGATGACTGGGCGGATGGGGGTCGACGCACCCCCCTGACGTTGCCCTTGAGAATAGGCGCGCACCAACGAAAAGAGGTAACTCTGGCGCAAGGGCACTCTTAAGTGTGGTGAATCCTCCTCCTCCTCCTCCTTTCCCCTCCTCCTTTCCCCTCCTCCTTTCCTCCTCCTCCTCCTCCTCCTCCTCCTCCTCCTCCTCCTCCTCCTCTCCCCCTCCTCCTCCTCCTCCTCCTCCTCCTCCTCCTCCTTCTGGCTGGGCAAGGGCCCTGTGGGCCCAGTCCAAGGGGGCCCGCGGTGCCGTGGGCCCGCACAGGCGAGGGGGGGCGGACCGCGCAGGGGGGCGGGCATTGCGCTCAGGTCGGGCGTGTCCCCCTACAGGCGGATTTTGGACGAGAAAAAATGAATAGTCAAACTAACACTCAAACACAACGAACAAATAAAACAATCCCCCCCAGACCATTTTTCTCGACTTTTTGGAAGGTTCCTCCTGTGGAAGGACAGCCCGACTCGGGCATACTCGCCGGGGCCGACGGGGGTTGCAGCTCCGGGATGCCCACGAGGCAGACGCGCGCGCCCAGCCGCGTGCACGAGCACAGCCCCCCAGGTCCACGGACGGAGGCAGCCTCGTGCCACGGAGGTCGCGCAAACCCGCGAGACGGGGGAACCCAAAAGGTGCCCATACCGCTACGCCCTGGGCCTCTCCTGGGGTGCGTTTCGGCCAGCATTTCGAGGCGAATCCAGCGGTGGCGACGAGATCCTGCGAGGAGGCCCAAAAAGGGGAACACGGGCGAGGGGTAGAGGTATGGGTACCTTTTCATCCTCCGAGCACGAATCCCACAGGACGCAACGTTCAAGGCGACTCGCACCTCGAAGCCCGCGAAGACGCCCGCGCACGCTCGTCTTCTTATTTGCTCCTGGGGGGGGGGGGCACGGGGCCGGGGCCCTCTGCGAGTGCCCGCGGCTCTGGCCCAAGGAAGCGCCCTCGAGCGGCATTGGGGGGCGGTGCAGGACACTGAGTATTGAAGCTCCAAGGATGGGAGGGCAGAACATCCACCCCGATACTAACCACCCCGACACGCGAAGCCATTTAATGAACGCACCCAAAGAAGGAATCGAACAGGGCCGGGCTGTTTAGTAAACGCCCAAGGCCGTTTCGTAAACGCCAATTGTCCGGTCCGGGTGGTTTTTCCACCCTTGATACAGGACGCTGAGTATTGAAGCTCCAATTGTAGGATCGGGCTCCTGCCAATTCTCGACGCAAACGCCGCCTGCCCCCCAGGTACGCAACTGAGGCGCGGCGGCGGGGAACCGGCCGAACCTGAGGCGCAACGTCGGGGTATCAGCGTTGAGAAACAGCGATTCCCCAAAGAGTGCTTCCACTCATATATTCTTTTTTCATTTCGAAGGATCTGGGCCTGCCTGATGGTCAGGCGGCGTCGCCGTCGACGCCCCGTCGCCGCCCGCCTTCTGGGCCTGCCCGTCGGTCTGGCGGCTATGTGGTCGCCGTCGACGCCGCCTCGTCGCCGCATTGCATTGCATTCGCACTGCGTTGCACTGCAGTTACATTGCACTGAACCGCAATTGCATCGCATTCCCTTGCACTGGGCCACACAGCTCACACCACATCGATTCCACCGCGTAGATCACACCGCGTGTATTGCAGTGTGTAGATCGCACCCCAGGGACCAGACCTATCTTGCGCCACGTAGCTAGCACCGCATTGCTCACACCATCTAGACGAGTGTGTTGGTTCCAGATAGCTTGCACTACGTAACTTACTCCAAATCGCCAACGCCACACATATACCCTGCATAGATTGCACAACATCGCTTACACACATAGATCGCATCACGCGTATTACACAACCCAACTGAGGTTTCATAGATCTCACCGCATATCTATACATATAGATATATAATTGCACT